GCTGTTGCCGTGAGTGCGTTAAATTCGTCGTTTATTAATGTTCGTTGAAATGTTGAATTTCATTAAAGATACATATATTTCGAAAGGTATGATGTGTTTCTCCGGTGCTCATTAGACAAGATAGACAAAGCAGACATAGAACTGTGCAATTAACAACGTGTATATTCGCGCTGAAGTGCTATTACGCTAACTCGGCGTACTTTATCGCCCATTAGACTTTATGTAACGTTTCTGGAATATGGAACACACGGCGGAGATTCTGTAATTATCGTGTCTCAGACGACCGCGTTCGATCTCCTTGCCAATTTACATACCGATCGCGCGAAGATCGTCAAATACGCAAATAACGGCTCGCGTAGCAGAATCAGCCTCGTAAATCTGCCATAAGCTCGGAGTTAATTGAATAATCGATAGGCACGTAACGTTCGATTCGTATGATCAGTCACGGATTACGATCGATGGACGTACAACCGTACAAAACCGCGGTTCTCCGTGATCAGGCTCGTTCGCGCGTCATTTGTCTTTTTTCTAAAGCAATTGACAATCACGGAATAACCTTTGACACGACCGGTATGTCGGAGATTCGCGTAAATAGATACAATGACACATGTTCGTAAAAATAGAGATCTGCGCAAAGAAACGATTATTATTCATTTCTGAATACGAACGTACGGTATTCGAATTTCGGTCAATGGCTTCGATGTTTCAATCGCATTTCTGTCGATACTGCGTTTGTTAAATTGGTCGCCACGATATCTCAAGATCCACTCGACCGATTCGTACCGAACGAAACGCAATTTTTCCAATTCCACAGTCTATGAAATATCCGAAATCGACGCAAAAATCGAAAGATTCCTCCTCGAAACGTTTCTCTCGTCGTTCTTCCAAACTCGTTCTTCCAAAGATTTCATTCGATTCATACATTATTCGTCGTAAATTGTTCCATCCATTCCATTATATTTATTCATTTGTGAACAATTCGAATAATTGAAATAATTCGAATAATTCAAATAATTCAAATAATTCAAATAATTCGAATCATTCAAATAATACGAATAATTCGAATATTTCGAATAATTGAAATAATTCAAATAATTCGAATCATTCAAATAATCCTAATAATTCGAATAATTCAAGTAATTCAAATAATCCGAATAATTCGAATAATTCAAATAATTCGAATAATCCAAATAGTTCAAATAATTCAAATAATTCGAATAATTCGGAAGGCTAATGTAGAATAAATAAATCGAAAACTATGGAAACACAGTTCGAACCAAAGAAATTGAATTTTGACCAGAGAAAGCGGATGTCCAGGCGACGGTGGACGGACGGACGATGGTTAACAAATCAGGACTAAATGCGATTCTGAATTTTCGACAGATTGTGTTGCTGGCCGTAGCCTTGGTGGCGGTTTCCGCTGAGCCAGCTCCGGTGCCACCACTGATCAGCCACCCGTTGGTCTATTCGCAGCCGTACGTGAAGGTGCTGCCGCTGCACACCGCGACCTACCCTCTGTCCTACAGCAACGGATACGGATACAAATGGTTCTACCCAGGTTCTTCGTATCTCTACTGACACCGCAGACGCCTCCGCCGGAACTCATGCACACACACAGGGCATACCACAGGCAGAGTCAGTTGAACGAGGCTCTTTCGCCAAACAATTTTGTACCGTTATGACATGCATTTAAAATAAAGCTCGCGGCTAACTGCAGTCGAGAGTCGACTTCGTCGTTCCTCGCTCCCCGTTGCCCGGTTAATTTCGCCAAAGGAACCGGTCCTTTATGCCGGCAGTAAAATCCGCGAGACGGTTGCCAACCGTTAGAAAGTCTCGCGACGTTGTCTTCCACGGGGTCGAGAATAGTGCGCGAGAACGACACAAGGGACCAGCCTCGTACAGCAAAAGACAGGCTTTTTGGAACGCTATCGAGGGAAAGGGTGGAATAATTTCGACGAAAATAGAATAGCGGTCATAGATTTAATAGGATGAATTTTAATCGTTAATTGTACGCCGCTAGTTATTTATTTCGTTTCGAAATCTGTCGATGGATGGTATACTTTTTTAACCTCGCCTTCTTAAAAAATTCCCACGTGGGCTGCTCATGGACTCCCAGTAAGAAGTGACGATTATCGATAATAATATAGAAACGTCTATATTGTACTATTGCATTATATTAATTTTAACAAAGAGACGTAATATATATATTATTATATTTATTATATATATTATAATATATATAATAATATAATATAATTATATATAATATAATATAATATAATAATAATATCTGTCTCTTATACACATCTAGATGTGTATAAGAGACAGATATTATATTATATATAATTATATTATATTATTACTGTCTCTTATACACATCTAGATGTGTATAAGAGACAGATATTATATTATATATAATTATATTATATTATTACTGTCTCTTATACACATCTAGATGTGTATAAGAGACAGATATTATATTATATATAATTATATTATATTATTACTGTCTCTTATACACATCTAGATGTGTATAAGAGACAGATATTATATTATATATAATTATATTATATTATTACTGTCTCTTATACACATCTAGATGTGTATAAGAGACAGATATTATATTATATATAATTATATTATATTATTACTGTCTCTTATACACATCTAGATGTGTATAAGAGACAGATATTATATTATATATAATTATATTATATTATTACTGTCTCTTATACACATCTAGATGTGTATAAGAGACAGATATTATATTATATATAATTATATTATATTATTACTGTCTCTTATACACATCTAGATGTGTATAAGAGACAGATATTATATTATATATAATTATATTATATTATTACTGTCTCTTATACACATCTAGATGTGTATAAGAGACAGATATTATATTATATATAATTATATTATATTATTACTGTCTCTTATACACATCTAGATGTGTATAAGAGACAGATATTATATTATATATAATTATATTATATTATTACTGTCTCTTATACACATCTAGATGTGTATAAGAGACAGATATTATATTATATATAATTATATTATATTATTACTGTCTCTTATACACATCTAGATGTGTATAAGAGACAGATATTATATTATATATAATTATATTATATTATTATATATATTATAATATATATAATAATATAATATAATTATATATAATATAATATAATAATATAATTATATATAATATAATATAATATAATATAATAATAATATAATATATTATATATATTTTATAATATTATATTATATTATTAAAATTAATATAATGCAATAATACAATACAATTAAATTAAATTAAATTAATACGAGAAGGAAATAAGGCGTTCTAATGGCGGGGGGAAGGGGGCACTCAAAAATTGACGAATTTAGAAGGATTGCTATATAAAATATGTTGAAGAACAATGATAAGTATAATGATACACGATTCTATGCATGCTCGGTTATACTTCCGTCAAGAAGAGTACAGAAATTCGTTGTCAAAAAAACTTTTGTAAGAAAAGAACACCGAGTACCAAAAGTCTACAAAAATTTAACTCGCGCCTGCCAAGGCTCTTGAACATCGAACAAGTCGGGTTCTAAAGGCAAAGATGTCGTCGGACGAATCGCGAGGTTCAATCGTATTTCGTCCGACGCATTGCGCTACGCAAGACGTCGTCGCGCGGACAATTTGCGAACAGAGTGCATTCCGCCGGCTTCTTTCGTTCCATTCGAATGTACATTTCGTCCGCTGCCGCGTAAAAGCGAACGGAATCTTTCCGAAGACCGGCGTACTCGTGCTCGACGGAAAAGATACGTCGCCGAATATGCGCGTCGCTTATACGCGACCGTATGCGAACGGTCGGTTATATCCGACAGCGAACGTTCGTCTGTCACGGATACCATCGTTACACGTGCCACAGTTTCGGCTGTCCTCGAAGACGCATGGATACGCCGCTGCTCTCGGGGTGAACGTACCGAGATAAAGTCGCAAACGGACTCGGGACCCTCGAGTGCTCTCCGCCTCTGTTAACAACTCTTTCCTTCGTCGATCGGGCCGGAAACTTCGCCGGAAGAGGGATCACACGCGGGGGGGTTCGGTAATATTTTCTGGCTTCCCGGCCGTGCCGGCTGCGATGAAAGCGGGCTCTTCCAGCCGCACATAAAATACCGGGATTGCACGGCTATTTTTCGAGTGCGCTTTCGTTATCCTCGAACCACTCGGCTGGTCCAACGGGGGAAACACGTTCTCTCTGTCCCGAATGTGCCGGACATCCGAGCGCCTTTGAAAACGTGGGACAATTTCCTCGGAGGCTTCGCGAAGATATCACAAAGCCTGGGATATATCATTTTGTTGGCCGTTTTATGGAACCGAGCGATCGGCGACGAGTTCCAACTTGCGGCGGAGTCATTTACGGTCTTTATCGCAGGATTATGCAGTTTATATACGGTACAGGATTACTAGGAGCGCCACGTTTTTAGGATTATTATTTAGAAGGATATTTCCGAGCTCGTCGCGCTGGCGCGATGCGATCGCCGTGACTTCTATTAATAGGCTCGCAGTAAATAGAGCATTAACATAAAACCAGATCGGACTTGGAATCCGACGGCTGAGGCGCGATTAATTTATGCGGTGCAATCGATGCGTGTAGGTTAACGAATGCTGCAACGAATCGTTGATTGCATCTCGTGCGCGTCCTTCGTCTTCGATCTCCTTTTTATCGAGCAGTTTCGACCCTTTATAAAGATGTTACATTCCGAAAATCCAGGCACATGCAATCTGCACCCACGGATTCAATGTCCTGCTCCAATTAATGTATACGCTATACAAATCGACGAAATATTTTGCATTGATGAACGAGTTATGCTATGCTCCTGACAGGAGATCGAATAAGGTGAGCCCTCGAAGATGCTGCAATCGATAGAGCGAAATTGCGAGCCGGCAGGCAAGGTGACAACAACAACAACAACGAGAAAAAAAGCTTTTTTTTAAATAAAATTTTATTAAAATTCCATATGACCGAAAGGGAGGGGTCCTGGATGATGGTGCAAATGAATGAACGTCCGAATTACATTGATGATCAAAAAGTTGCGAATGCACAAAAAGGAGTGGGACCAGCCGATTCCTGGTGGCCCGTGACCGGTTGTCCGGGCGTCATCTTGATGGATAGATTGGCAGGGTGAAGTGGTGGTTCCATGTGATCTTCTTGGTACTTTTAGCTTGTGTCTTCTGGCGACAGTCCTTCCCTTGTTCTTGGATGGTTTCGAGGGGACGATTTACGAGGAGTAAGGGGGGTACTTTTTCTAGGGGGTTGTCTCGTCGTGAGTTGTTGGTTGTAACGTAGAATCGACTGTCATTTAATGGCCGTGAACGGAGAGAAGGGGCAGGGGAGCGGCGGTCAGGACGGACTTGGTGACGATCGGTGCGGTGCGGACAATGGGGGAGACGGGCTGGGCAATCACATGGGCAGAGACCAAGGGCGCAGCGTGTCCGACGAGCAGGGGAGCCGTGATCGGGCCAACTCCATGGTCGGCGACGATTCCGGTGAGACCACCAGGAGCGGCAACAGCGACAGCCAAAAGGGCAGCGAGGACAGCCTGTGGGAACACCAGCATTTGCAAACTTAGCAGAGAACGGTGGTGCACGCTCGGTCCCGATCCCACGGTTAATCGTCGCAGGCGTGTCGCCTCTCGTCGCCTCTCGTCGCGTCTCGTATCGTATCGTATCGCGTCGTCCTCCTGCTTGCAACGCGCGGCCTTCGAAAGATGGCTCACGTAGATTTTCCCACGGACGGTATTAATCTTTCAGCGATTAAAGTCTTAAGTGCCGGTCCAGCCTGTCCGGCTTCCGCCGGAAGCTTCATAAGGCTGCCGGTATCGCGGAATCGCGGAATTAACATACCAACATCTTTTCACCGAAACTTTCGTTCAGCGCCGGATAATGCACTTTGAACGGTCGAATAACTTTCGGAAGATTAACGCGTCCTCGAGCTCGGTTCCCCGACATCTGTGTATTCGTATTATTTCGTGGACCCGAGGAGCTTCGTCTTTCTGGGCCAAGTGTGCCCGAAGCTCCGGAGCTAAGCGCCCGATCTTTTGTGAAGAACGTCCGAGCATCGACGTTCGATTCTCGATGGATGATTATCGACGCGACGTGTGATTATTTAGCGTTCTCCTATCGATTTGCTGTCCCTTCTTACGCGCATCGTTTGTAAAACTCTGCAAATATTAGCACCAGCTTTACGGAACCCGACGAAACGACTGGTCACTTTTACGATTATTCAGACTGTAAAGATGCATTTGTGAGTTATTTATTCTATCTGTGCTTTATTTGCGGCAAATATTACAATAAGACTCTTCAAAGATCGGAATAAATGTCGTATTTTTGCTTTTACGAGTTAACATAGCTGCTTGTGACACTATAATTGCCAGATCAGTCGAAACGACTGGTCTCTGGCCTATTCTTTTACGATTGCTGATACAATGAAAATGTTTCTACGAGAAATTTTCAGACGAACTTCTTTAATCAGCCATCTGTTATCACAGGAATCGTACGAAATTTAATTAAAGACAATCTCGTCGATGCTATAAAGCAATATAGATCAGTTGAATTTAGGCCTCGGTAATTCTGCGTGTAATTCCAGTGTTAAACCTAATCGATCCTAGCAACGATGCACTTTCGTCCTATGCACGCGGCGAGAAATAATCGCGGGGAACATACATGGTCGCCAAACGTCGTTGCGGCAGAGATTGGAGAAGCCACCTCGAGGATAAAAAGACTCGAAACGATGTCACAGCCACGTGCAACGGAGTCGACCGGCGAATCTGTCATCTTCGGAAGCGGTTAATAACGATGGAACGCGTTAGGCAACCCCGCGGTGGGAACCGGTGTTGGTATCGCGTGAACAGGACGCGAAGCAAGTGGCGTTCCTCGGCCGGCATAATAATCGGGCCGGCGGAAAACTCGGGCTCGTTCCCGGGACCCGGGAACAGAGGAGGCGAGAGAAAAGTGTGCAAAGCGGACTGCATTCCGTGTTAGCGGCGTGCGTTCGCCGTTTGACTCACGACTGCTTTAGCCGGCAGCCGATGTTGGCTAACAATGTGCATGCTTCAGTGGTCGCGCGCTCGCTCGAGGATTTTTGTGACCGGATGGAAACTCGGTGTCCGTTCGAGTGAACGTAAGGGTCCGTGCACGGGCGTGCATATGGTAGACGCGAAGGAAAGGTCACCGTCGCGAAGAGAGAACCGCGTTACGTGTCTTTCCCGCGCCGAGCCGCGCCAAGCCGCGCCAAGCCGCGCCGAGCCGGGAATATCGGCTTATCGATCGGCCGGATCGACCAGCTCCGGGAATTTTCCCAGCGATCCGACTGGCCGATTCCGACAATTACCGCGCCGAGAATCGCTCGGAGATTGGCCGCGTGTGACGCGTGCGTTCGCGGCCGAGAAAACCGATTAACGATAAGGGAATTTCAATCGACCTCGAGAAAGTCTCGGGAGACGAATCTATAGTGATCAGTACCGATTTCAGTGCATTTATGGGTTCGTTTTCAGACAGTGGAAGATCGTTGAAGAGCATCGATCATTAATTGAAATTATTCAAGGAAGAATGAAATGTCCGTCGAGCTTCGATCCGTTGAAATCAGAAAGTTTGTATTCTACGGATTCGAATTTTGAACATTTTTGAACAGCTAGTTCGAGCTCGAGGCTCGATGAGATTTTTGTTGCAATTTGCGAACTAATTAATTGATGTACTATAAGTGTAGACGAGTGAGCTGCGGATATTACAGGCTGTACCGATTTATGATCAATTCTAAAGGGTAGATTTTAGCACAATTAGTAGATGAAAGTAGACAGATGAAAACTTGTTCAAAATTAATCACAAATTCGTTCAAAATTCTTTGAAATTCTTTGAAATTCTTTTAAGAGCTCTTCGATCTGAGACGATTTAAGTCCGATTGCGTGTAACAGTACGTTCTTTCAGTTTTGGTGAGGATCATTTACTCGAACAATAATGAACAAACAATACTAAAAGGCGACGTTTACAATTTTGATACTGCTTCAGTTACTGTCCCAATTACTGTACCAGTTACAGTCTCGGTTACTGTCCTAATTACTGTACCAGTTACAGTCTCAGTTACTGTCCCAATTACTGTACCAGTTACAATTTCGGTTACTGACCCAATTACTGTACCAGTTACAGTCTCAGTTACTGGCCCAATTACTGTACCAGTTACAGTCTCAGTTACTGACCCAATTACTGTACCAGTTACAGTCTCAGTTACTGACCCAATTACTGTACCAGTTACAGTCTCAGTTACTGTCTCAGTTATCGTTGTCCACGTAAATTAAACAATTTCTCTTCGTCCAGTACTTACAAAATAAACAAACAATAAGTTAGTAAATACCGATTTTCAATGCTGTGCAAATATTTCCAAAATGTTAGTAAACTATCGAACTTCGAATCAACGATTTTTGCCGATCAAGAGTTAACAACGACTGCACACGTAAGTGCAGCAGTAAAATTACAGATTTTATGCATCTCGCAGATGTTAAAAGCGCGTATCGGATGACACCGTATCCGACTCGAGCAACGACCAAGCCGTATTCCGAGCGATCGTGACGTAACGAACTCGAAATTAACGTTGATCCGGTGGTTCCCGAGCTAATTGTAAGGTGCAGTCGACGCGGAAAAGCCAAGGACCGATCGGCGAAAAGTCGAGCGACCGGAACTGAATGATCGAACATATGTAAACGTTGATAGCGATACGGTTACGTCGGACTGAAACGAGAGCGGCGTACATTCGTACGGTTTCCAGTTGTGCGAGTGTCGATAAAATATTAGCAAGTCAATTGGTTCGATTCGAGCCGGCAAAAGACCGGACACGCGGCAAAGCACAAGTAATGCACAAGAGCGGCGAGACGAAATAACGAAAAGTAAGCAGCAAGTGAGCAAGTTCTTCTTACCAACTTGAACATGTTGAGAGTGGGTTGTGGGTTGCTTGTTTGCTACTCGAAAGTAAGAAAGCTTATGCTCCATGTCCGAGCCGGCGGCCTTTTATACAAAAGCCGATTTTAAAAAATCGCTATAAATTTGATCACGTGGCCCGCCGTTTGACAGTATGACGTTATGCGACCGCCGGTTGAGTCAGCCGATCGCCGGACGTAGTGGGGCGCGGCTCGGCCAATCGCGGCGCTTCAACGGGAGGAAACAGCGCCGGGGCAGCCAATCGCGGGCTTTCAACCCCTCATGATCGGTTCCGGGGAATTGGGTTAAGACACTTTATGTGGAAATAGTTCAATCGCTCGCCGCGCGCCGGTGTGCGCCGGTGACGGCCCGTCCGTGTGTGGGTGATACTCTCGCACACAGCGCTGAAACAACGGGGGACCCGGGGTAGGTGGAACGGGCGGAACTGTGAAAAATAAACGGGCGACCGGGCATACACGCTCTAAATGCAAACTCATTTCGTAAAAACGCAGCCAAGGTCTTCCTTCCGTTACGGCCTTGCTCGTCCGACGAACGGCGAACAACGTAGGCTCGACGGAGCCTTTTCAGCGACAGGACAACGACGGGAATCTTTCCACGGAGATTCTTAAGATCGCCGACCGCCCTGGGGAGACTGCCTGCGAATCAGGGATTTCTATCGAAATGGAGAATACCGGTACTGTAACGCCGCTATCACGGTATTTCTCGGTGGTACCGAAACCCTTGGAGACGCCGGATATGTTGTATGTAAGTGTCGGTGTTTATTGGGAATTTTTTTTCAATTTTTGTGTTTCGCTACAGGGACTTCTCCAGCGAAATGTAAAATACCGGTATTTTTTTGGCTGTATCATCGAAACCCTTATCAAAATCGAGTCACGAGAATACTGGCATATATATGACGTCATGCTGCGAGAAAAAAATAGAGGTATATTTAGTCGTACTGATTGGTTATTTTTTCGATTTTCTTGTTCTACTGTAATATAACGAGGCCGTTTTTTTTTCAGATTACCAATTGTAATATAATAATATAACGAGGCTGCGGATTTTTCTGCGTAATAAAGATTGGGTGCATTAATGCTGCTAAGTGCAACTGTTTCTCTTTCTTACATAATTTTAATATTTACTGAGATAGTCAAAATTTCACATTTTTTTATTTTTTGGTTGCCATAATTATAAAAACCTTGTCATAGAAAATGATTGAAGAATCTTCTTCATTAAAGCACAGGTTATAATAGAAACTGCAACAAGTTTCAAATATATATGAACATATAAGCACAGGTTGTAATAAAAATGGCAAAAAGATACAAATATGTATGTAGAAGGTCTATGTATTGAACTTTATTTACTTTTATGCATAGAAGTTTCTTCAATTATTTTCTATATATATGATAGGGTTTTTATAATTATGTATATATAACGTTTAAGTCGTTATAAAGCAACATACGCTAGTTACCAGTATTATTTTATTATTAATTACACTGAAACTTCTATCTATACTGTGCGCACGAAAATACAATGTTACAATTACAGTAAAGCACAAGAAATATTATGCCCATCTCCATA